TAAGAGCTCCACTTCTGTGGAAGCAGCCATTTTGTCCTCAGAGTTGCTACAGTAATAAAGGAGCAAAACATTCTGTACTGTCTTGGAGATTGCTTTTGATCGGTCTTCTCTTATTTAACTCCTGATAGTGTGGCCTAGTGAATAAAGCCCTGGACTGAGATTAAGGAGTCCTTGGTGCCATTTGTTTGCTGGGTAACAGCACTTCCCCTCATTCTGACTTTATGTCCTTATTTGCATCAGGGAAGTTCCACATGCATTTTCAGAGGAGACAGTTTTGAGACGCCGCAATTTAAAGTTGTGTCTTGCAAGCAACATTAAGTTCTGTTGAATGGATTCCTTGTATTCTTCCTTCCTCTGGGAACAGCCACAGAAGTTTAGATATTTGGGTCTCAGTTGAGTCCAGAAGTCTATATATATATTCTGGTTGGACCAGAAACATGGCAAAAATTATTAGACTGGATAAGATCTGAGATCCATCTAGTTCAATATCCTGTCTATGGCAGTGTTCAGTACCACATGTTTCAAAGGAAGGTGCAAGAAGCCCTAGACTATTCCATTATGGTGTAACTTATCCACAGGGAAATTTTCTTCCTTGACTTCATTAGTTATAAAGTGGTTTGAAGCATGGGGGTTTATATCTGTGTGTGTGTTTCCCCCCCACACCATTCCCCAATCCAATCTATTGTGTGAAAATTAAAGGAAAATCATGTGGTGTTCTTTGAAATTTAGAAAAGTTTTGCTTGTTTCTAGCTGGAGTTTATTTTACCTGGACCACTTCACTCATTCCAAATAGGAAATCATTTGAAATGGAATTACTTTTCTATTGTATTTTTCAATACACTCTTAGTTATAGTACATAAGTATTAGAACTGATGTCAAGCTGCAAATCATGACAAATCTTCAGTCTGATTCTGAGAAATTTGAAGATATGTGACCTCCTCTAGTCTCTTCTGTTTTGCACTTACCCATGTGGAAATGTTCAATATTTTTTTCCTCATGGATAACAAATGGCATCAGTAATGTTCCTGGAAAAATTAACCAACAAAACACATTTACAGCAGAAAACATTTAAGAGGTATTAGCATTCAGGATGTACAGAACACAGGTATTGTTATCTAGTTTATAAATGAATCAAGGAAAATACTGAATAGTTGTAACGACTTCAGGATCCACAAAGCTTAGAGCTTGATCCATCTCTGAACATCTGCAAATTCAAGACCTGTTGGAATGCAAGATTTTTGAACTTTTCCATTGTAGAGATGGAGTAAGCAATGGATATTGGATCTGGACTTGAATTAAAACATCATCAGTGTCTCCAGGAGATCAGATATAGATTTTGGTTTGGTCCCAACTCTAGTAAAATTTAGCATTGGTCTCTTATTGTGTATCATAAATTACCTGTGCCCCAAAATGTATATACTGTCTTATATTCAGGTCCAGAAGATGCTTCTAATCTCAGGGTTCTGAGTGACTAGGCAGAATTAAAGGAAACCAGTGGGAAAATCTAAGAAAGGTCACTTTGTTTTTAACTTAGCCTTGACTCCATAATTAGCAGCCATGCCAAAGGGGAGAAGGAAATATGTGGAAACCAGCATCCAAAATCCAAGAAAAACTGCAAATTAACAGGTGGACTGCCGCAATCCAATTTGCATAGAATAATTAATGCATGCTAAAATGGATCACTGCAAGCATGGCACGAAAGGTGTTTTGGCAGTTAGTCCAACACATATACCTGCAGTAACGTGTCAGATTAAGCAGAATAAACTAATTTGTATCCTTTCATAACATAACTTTACTGTACTGTCATGTCTCAAAACAAAGGGCAGAAGAGGGGATGTAGAAAGACAGGCTTTGAGAAAATGCATGGAATGAGTGAATGACAGCAGCAAACTTGCCTTGCTGAATAGTCATCCTGAATAAAGCACTCCAGGCCCAGGCCCTTTCTGGCTGAAGTCATTGGGGAATTTTACCATCAACCTCAATGGGAGCAGGACTAAGGCCTATGGTTTGAGTCAAGTTCTGCTCCTAGATGTGTGTGGCAGCTCCCACAGCTTAACTGGGGTTTCACTTGTATAATACAGTGTACCCCTGTGTATTGGAAACCCTATTACCCAAACCTCCATTTTCTGAATCCCTTCCCTGTCCCAAGCATGAGATTCATGGAGGACAAGGAAGGGATTCAGATAATGTGGAGGTTTGGATAATAGAGCAGAGACCCCAGGTCAGGACTAAGAGGAGGACGAGTCCCCAGCCACGGGGGAGGCCACTCTGCTGCTGAATGGCTCCTGTGTGGTGTATGAAGCCTTCTGCAGTCCACCATGTCGAGAGTGAGTGAGCTGGGCTATCATAATGGAGCTGCAGCAGGTTCCCTGTGCTGCCACAGGGCCAGTGATGTTAAATTCCCTGCAGCTGCAGGGAGGGAGGCTGTGGTCCTGGTGGGGCAGAGCAGAGACCTTTGGCCACGACTGCAAAGAGGATGAGCCTTTGGCCACAGGGGAAGCCCTCCACTGCTGAATGACTCCTGCTCCCTCAATTATCCAAACTCCCACTTATCAGAAAAAAAAATGGCCCTCATATTATTCCAGTAACAGGTATATACTGTATTTACCTCTTTAAGTAGTTTGTTCATCACAGCAGAAGTCTATGGGCTAAATTCTGTTCTTAGTTACACCAGAGAAACCTGATTGGCTTCTGTGGGATTGCTCACATGTACATATTGAGCTGATAAACATTTTCCAATGCAGCAGTTCTCTATTGTCAAATGGACATTTGTGAACATACAAAAACTTGCAATGAAAAAATTATGAAGATGTTTCATTTTGATAATCTTGAAAGATTTTATTTTGAAGCACTATGTTTCAACTTTTTACAATATATAATATCTAATGGTTTTACAATATCTTGGAAGGAAATTTCAGGTTTTGACAAGTTCTAGTAAATTTGACACAGTATTTCACCAAAAAGCCACCTATTAATCTGCTAATGTGGAGGTAAGTGTATGAGCTTTTCCCATGTGGAGATAAAGTATTCTGAAATATGTAAGAAACTCCTTGATTAAAGGATGGACCACAATAGCGGATAATGGTCAAAAAGTATAGAGCCATCAATTGTGGATGATGGTAATCCATATGGCCTAGTTGAATACCTTAGAGATGCTTAATGGTGATAATTTTAAAGGGGCATAAGGGTTTTAGGTGCACAGTTCCCACTGAATTTCAGTGAGAGTTAGGGACCTTCCTCCCTTAAACAAGTTTGAAAATCCTAATTTAAATTCTCGGGTGGGTAAAAGGTTCAGCTTACAGAGGCTCTCCAACATTTATAGGTGTATGCTGAACTTTATCAGAGCCTCTTGAGTATGGAAATCTCGTGAGAACAGGTTCTGTCATGAGAATTCTCATTTGGACCAACTGTTGTCGTAGGATTTGGGGTCCTTTCACTTTTATTCCAGGCTGTGATCAAGAAGAACAAAGGCACATGAAAATGAAAGTTGTTTAAAAAAAAACCAAAAACAATCTCGGGTGGCAATAATTGTATCTGGTTTTTGAACAGCAAAGCTTAAGATTTTCCAAATGTTGTACTCTGAGTTCATACCCATTAACTTTAACGGGAGCAAGACCAAGGCATATGGTTCTGAACCAAAAGCTATCTTTAAAAAATGCTAATGTGGCAAAAAAGGTCCCATTGAGTTTGGGGTAGATTTTTGGAACAATTTTTATTTTATTCAAAGTAGCTCACCCATCTTTAGTGATAGTGTCCTACACTGGAATGGAAACTGGTGCCTTTTGAGGTGCTAGATGAAGAATAGAAGTTTTATTATGTATGTATGTATTATGTATGTTTTTCTTGTGTCAAGTCTTCTAGGGACTAATCCAAAGCCCACTCAAGTCAACGGGACATGACGGGGCTCTGGATCAAGTCTATAGACAGGAGACAGGTCTAAATTGCTATCTTTAGGTAATAATATCCAGGTGCTCTTCACTTCTGGTCTGTCGCTATCCAATGTGTAGTAAGCATACACCAACATACAGATATCGTGGAAGAAGCTAGAAAAACATGACTAAGAAATATCAGGAATCAATATAAGATTGCTCATCTGTGAAAAAGAAATTGCCTAAGGAAAAACTAGGAGGTGAATTACCCAGAGACAAATTGCTGTCTTGGTCCCTGGAGGAAAACTACTTTTATTAACTAGTGCTTAGCAAAATTTAAACAATCAATCTAAAATTACCCTAGAAAAACTCTCACCATGTCCATTATTTATAGGCGGATTATTTTGTTTACTAAATTATAGAGCATGTCATTCTTACTCTGCAGGCAGAATTCACAGCCATGAGGGACCAATATATGCGAGGTGGAGAGGGTTTCATTATCTGCTATTCCATCACAGACCGCCAATCCTTTCAGGAAGCTGCAGAATTTAAGGAGCTCATTTATCGTGTCCGGCACACTTATGACATCCCATTGGTGCTGGTGGGAAACAAAATAGATCTTGAGGAGTTCAGGCAGGTAAGTGAAGTTTCTTCCTGCTCCTTTTCCTCTGCTATGTTAGGAGTTTATGCAGCATGTGCCATATGGTACTGTTGAGAATTATTGACCCAGAATAGGCATGGATCAAAGAGCAACGCACCAGGATTGTTAATAAATTAAGGTAAATATTACTGTTCATTTGTATAACCCTTTTCAATCTAAAGGAGCCTAATCCACTCAGATCCACAGCTAGCAGGTTTTGTAAACTGATCATATTTGCCCTGGAATCTACTTACATATCAAACATGGAAACCCAGGATGCCATTTATACATAGTAGAATTGCACTTTAAATAAATGATGTAACTTGGGTATAGAAAAATATAACAGTTTAAAGTGCTGTCCTCTAGTTCATTAGCATCTGTGTTCACATGCATGCCAATCTCCTTTTCACCTTTTAGCATGTCACTCCCATGTGTTCCCTCTCCTTTTCCTTAGAAAATCCAAAGCAACAATAGGAGTGAAATTAGTTTTGGGACTCTGAGAAACATCTAAAGAGTTTCACATTTCTTTCCAGATCATCGACTTTCTCCCTAAATCAGACTGAGACAAAAGCCTAATGGTGACAATCCAGCTGTAGCATAATGCTCAGCTTGAGACCTTGAACAACAGTGCTCTGTGTAATATTCTGTAAAATACATGTAACTCTTGAGGTGCTATATATCTATATATATAGGGTGGAGGAAGGGATGTGAATTCAATCATCCCACTAAGAATATTCCATTACATATAACAGGAGTTCACTATATTTAATTTCTTTATCTAATGTTATCTATAGATGAATTTTGAGCAAGTCACTACTTGCAATGATATTTGTGTTAGGAAAGATTTTTATTCCCCTCACCCTCTATCAGACAGCCCCTGCAGTGTTGAGGAGGATGAAAGGCCCAGGGAAGTAGAGCAGTCAACGGGAGCAGAGGGAAACCTTCCCATAGTTGGGACCCTCCTTCCAGATAGTGTTGGGGTATCCTCTCGCACTGAGGTTACCTCTCCGGAGGAGGGAACTCCAATCACTAGGAAAAGGCTGGTGTTAGTAATGGGAGATTCAATCATTAGAAACATAGATAGCTGGGTTTGTGATGACCAGGAGAACCGTATGGTGATTTGCCTGCCTGGTGCGAAGGTTGCGGTTCTCTAGAGGCATCTAGATAGACTTATGTGTAGTGCTGGGGAGGAGCCGGTACCAATGACATAGGGAAGGGTAGGAGAGACGTCTTGGAGGCCAAAGTTAGGCTGCTAGGGAAGAGACTGAAATCCAGGACATCTATGGTGGCATTCTCAGAAATGCTTCCAGTTCCACGTGCAGGGCCAGGTAGGCAGGCAGAGCTTCAGAGTCTCAATGCATGGATGAGATTATCGTGTAGAGAAAAGGGGTTTAGATTGATTAGAAACTGGAGAAACTTTTGGGATAGGAGGAGCCTATACAGGAAGGATGGGCTCCACCTAAACCAAAGTGGAACCAGACTGCTGTCACTTAACATTAAAAAGGTTGAAGAGCAAATTTTAAACTAAGAGATGGGGGAAAGCCGTGGGAATGCAGAGGAGCACGTGGATCGGAGAGAGACTTCTCTTAGAGGAGAGTCTATTGATAGAGATTCTCTAGGTTTTAGTCAGGAGGAGAGGATGGACGAGGATAAAGTAGGGGCCAGATCAGACAAGAAACATTCACATAAAAAAGAATCCAACATATCAGAGAAGAGCAGACAAATAAACAGTGCCAAGTTTTTAAAGTGCTTGTACACAAATGCTAGAAGTCTAAATAATAAGATGGGTGAACTAGAGTGCCTCGTGTTAAAGGAGGATATTGATATAATAGGCATCACAGAAACCTGATGGCGTGAGGACAATCAATGGGGCACAATCATTCTGGGGTACAAAATTTAACAGAAGGACAGAACAGGCCATGTGGGGTGGGAGGCGTGGCACTATATGTGAAAGAAAATGTAGAATCAAATGAAGTAAAAAATCTTAAGTGAATCCACATGTTCCATAGAATCTCTATGGATAGTAATTTCATGCTCTAATAAGAATATAACATTAGGGATCTATTATTGACCACCTGACCAGGGCAGTGAGTGTGTCAATGAAATGCTAAGGGAGATTAGAGAGACTATCAAAATAAAGAACTCAATAATAGTGGGGGATTTCAATTATCCCCATATTGACTGGGAACATTTCACCTCAGGATGAAATGCAGAGACAAAATTTCTCAATACTTTAAATGACTGCTTCTTGGAGCAGCTGGTACGGGAACCCACAAGGGGAGAGGCAATTCTCGATTTACTCTTGAGTGGAGCACAGGATATGGTCCAAAAGGTAACTATAACAGGACTGCTTGGAAATAGTGACCATAATATAATAACTTTTAACATTCCTGTGGTGGGAAGAACACCTCAGCAGCCCAACACTGTGGCATTTAACTTCAGAAAGGGGAACTATGCAAAAATGAGGAGGTTAGTTAAACAGAAATTAAAAGGTGCAGTGGCTAGAGTGAAATCCCTGCAAGCTGCATGGACACTTTTCAAAGACCCCATAATAGAGGCTAAACTTAAATGTATACCCCAAATTAAAAAACATAGTAAAAGAACTTAAAAAAAAGAGTCACCATGGCTTAACAAACATGTAAAAGAAGCAGTGGGAGATAAAAAGGCATCTTTTTAAAAAATGGAAGTCAAATCTTAGTGAGGTAAATAGAAAGGAGCATAAACACTGCCAAATTAAGTGTAAAAATATAATAAGAAAAGCCAAAAAGAAGTTTGAAGAACAGCTAGCCAAAAACTCAAAAGGTAATAACAAAATGTTTTTAAGTACATCAGAAGCAAAAAGCCTGTTAAACAACCAGTGGGGCCCCTGGACGATCGAGATACAAAAGGAGCACTTAAAGACGATAAAGTCATTGCCGAGAAACTAAATGAATTCTTTGCTTCAGTCTTCACCGCTGAGGATGTTAGGGAGATTCCCAAACCTGAGCCGGCTTTTGTAGGTGACAAATCTGAGGAATTGTCACAGATTGAGGTGTCACTAGAGGAGGTTTTGGAATTAATTGATAAACTTAATAGTAACAAGTCACCGGGACCAGATGGTATTCACCCAAGAGTTCTGAAAGAACTCAAATGTGAAATTGCAGAACTACTAACTATGGTTTGTAACCTGTCCTTTAAATCGGCTTCTGTACTCAATGAGTGGAAGATAGCTAATGTAATACCAATATTTAAAAAGGGCTCTAGAGGTGATCCCGGCAATTACAGACCGATAAGTCTAACATCAGTACTGGGCAAATTAGTTGAAACAATCGTAAAGAATAAAATTGTCAGACACATAGAAGAACATAAATTGTTGGGCAAAAGTCAACATGGTTTCTGTAAAGGTAAATCATGTCTTACTAATCTATTAGAGCTCTTTGAAGGGGTCAACTAACATGTGAACAAGGGGGATCCAGTGGATATAGTGTACTTAGATTTTCAGAAAGCCTTTGACAAGGTCCCTCACCAAAGGCTCGTATGTAAATTAAGTTGTCATGGGATAAGAGGGAAGATCCTTTCATGCATTGAGAACTGGTTAAAAGACAAGGAACAAAGGGTAGGAATAAATGGTAAATTTTCAGAATGGAGAGGGGTAACTAGTGGTGTTTCCCAAGGGTCAGTCCTAGGACCAATCCTATTCAACTTATTCATAAATGATCTGGAGAAAGGGGTAAAAAGTGAGGTGGCAAAGTTTGCAGATGATACTAAACTGCTCAAGATAGTTAAAACCAAAGCAGACTGTGAAGAACTTCAAAAAGATCTCACAAAACTAAGTGATTGGGCAACAAAATGGCAAATGAAATTTAATGTGGATAAATGTAAAGTAATGCACATTGGGAAAAATAACCCCAACTATACATACAATATGATGGGGGCTAATTTAGCTACAACTAATCAGGAAAAAGATCTTGGTCATCGTGGATAGTTTTCTGAAGACGTTCACGCAGTGTGCAGCGGCAGTCAAAAAAGCAAACAGGATGTTAGGAATCATTAAAAAGGGGATAGAGAATAAGACGGAGAATATCTTATTGCCCTTATATAAATCCATGGTATGCCCACATCTTGAATACTGCGTACAGATGTGGTCTCCTCATCTCGAAAAAGATATACAGGCATTAGAAAAGGTTCAGAAAAGGGCAACTAAAATGATTAGGGGTTTGGAATGGGTCCCATATGAGGAGAGATTAAAGAGGCTAGGACTTTTCAGCTTGGAAAAGAGGAGACTAAGGGGGGATATGATAGAGGTATATAAAATCATGAGTGATGTGGAGAAAGTAGATAACTTTTCCTTATTTACTTGTTCCCATAATACAAGAACGAGGGGTCACCAAATGAAATTAATGGGCAGCAGGTTTAAAACAAATAAAAGGAAGTTCTTCTTCACACAGCGCACAGTCAACTTGTGGAACTCCTTGCCTGAGGAGTTTGTGAAGGCTAAGACTATAACGGGGTTTAAAAGAGAACTGGATAAATTCATGGAGGTTAAGTCCATTAATGGCTATTAGCCAGGATGGGTAAGGAATGGTGTCCCTAGCCTCTGTTTGTCAGAGGGTAGTGATGGATGGCAGTAGAGAGAGATCACCTGATCATTACCTGTTAGGTTCACTCCCTCTGGGGCACCTGGCATTGGCCACTGTCGGTAGACAGGATACTGGGCTGGATGGACCTTTGGTCTGACCCAGTATGGCCATTCTTATGTTATCTCTGTAGTTCTCTGAATCTAAGTTCATGTTTTATTGGGCATTCAGGCTTGCATTATTTGATGGGATAAATGGTCATACTCCTGACATAATGGTCTTTCACTAGTAAGTTTAGTAACCTTCCTGATCTAAAATATTTAGAGATAGGCCTGAAACAAAACCAGAAATCCAAATATCCCTTCAGTTTGAGGAACTTTGGACCAAGATCTGAATATTGTAAATAGACCTTTATGTCTATACTAGGCCACACCAAATTCC